TAGGAAGCAAAACCTAGTTGTAAAGGGAAATAATCTGGCTAGGTGTAGGCAGAGCTCTTGCCTAGCAGGCACAAAATGCTGGATTGATACTCAGCATCACATTAAGCAGTAACTAGATATGAAGGCACATTCCTGCAACCTCAGCACTCCAGAAACAGAAGCAGCAGGATCATCTCAAAACAAAAACAAAATAACTCGACACAGAACGGTGACACTTGGATGTTACTAGAACTGTCCATTGTAAATAACCTGTTACTGAGAAGAGCAAATCTAACTGAGCCACCTACTTGGTAATGTTTTGATTTGCAATAGACACAGCAGCTATCTGAAACCTGGTAAAGCTACATTTCTTTTTACCTGGATAAAGTCTATGAAAAGATTTTGGATATTTGGGGACAGAACATTTTAAAAGTTCCAGGGCAAATTTCAGTTAAGAATTCTTATGGTGCATGCCTTTAATCCCAACATTCAGGAAGCAGGGAAGGGCAGATTTCTATGGCTACATAGCAAGCTCCAGAACAGTCGAGGTACAGAGTGAGACCCTATAGTGGTGGAGGATTCTGTAACACAAATAATTAAAAAACAGAGACTGATATTGGGGTTCAAACTTCAAACTGGAGTTCAGAAAAGCAAAGCAGCTGGCCACTAGATTCTTACCCCAACTCAGGCTAAATGGGCTGACACATGCTCAAGCTCTTCACCAAGCCTCAAACTGCTGCCTCTCTTCAGTGTGTCTGGAGAACCCAAATGTTGGGATTAAAGGTGTGAGCTATAATTTTTTTTTTTTTTTTAAGACTGATTTGCAGCCGGGTAGTGGTGGCTCATGCCTTTAATCCCAGCACTAGGGAGGCAGAGGCAGGTGGATCTCTGTGAGTTCTGTGAGGTCAGCCTGGCCTACAGAGTGAGTTCCAGGACAGCCTCCAAAGCCACAGAGAAACACCACCACCACCACCACCACCACCCAAAAAATAGCAGACTGACTTGTTCTTGTGTAGATCTGAGTGGCCTTGAACTCAGAGAGATTTCTCTGCCTCTTAATCTTGAGTTTTAGGATTAAAGGTGTCTATCACCACCACTTCCTAGCTTCTGACTGCTGGGATTAAAGGTGTGTACCTGGCTTCTATAGCTTGTGGCTGGCTTTGCTAACTGAATCCTCAGGCAAGCTTTAATAGGTCTTAAGTATCACTACAGGAATCTCCATTTCAACTGTCAATTAGTCAAGTATGAATGCAGCCTTTTTTAGCCACGCAAGATCTAACAGTCTTTCAGGAACCTACTAGAAGACTTCAAACATGCAAGGCACACCCACAAAGGAATGTACCAACAAAAAATGCAGATGGAACCATAGAGGCTGACTGAGGGTGTAGCTCAGCAGTAGGGCTCTTGCCTGGCATGTATGGGTCCTTGGTTTGATTTTCACCATCACCAAAATATAGAGATGGAACAGGGGAGAGGAGAAAGGCAGAGAGAGCGGGTGCGGTCACTATATCTACTTGGGAAGCTGCTGAGTGACAAGTATGCTAAGGAACTAAAAGGAAAAAGAGTTTCATAAGCAAAAACGAAGTCACTAGCTGTTGAATCAAACAATGCTGTAGGAAAGTTGTTAAGAATATATTCAGGCCACTCATGTTAGCACATGCTTTTAATTCCAGCACTTGAAGGCAAAGGCAGGCAGGTCTCGGTAACTTCTAGGCCAGCCAGGGCTACAGTGAGACCCTGTCTCATAAAATTAAAACAAACAAACAAAAAAATAGAAAAAAAATAAAATGTTCAACAAAAGTATGTCGAAGTTCTAGATCAAAGAGAATGTAATCTGGGTACAATTGTGGCCCTTCAGTGACTATCAGGTCTACATAGGAGCAAGGGCTCTTCCCCACTGAGTCGCCTCTACCACCCCCCCCCCACACACACACATATTATTTTATTCACAGCAAAGTTTTTTTTTAAAAAAATAATTGTTTAGGAATCCCCATGTACTTTTCTTTTCCCCCCCCCCCTTTTTTTTGTTGGTTTTTTGAGACAGGGTTTCTCTGTATTGCTTTGGAGGCTGTCCTGGAACTCGCTCTGTAGACCAGGCTGGCCTTGAACTCACAGAGATCCGTCTGCCTCTGCCACCCCAGTGCTGGGATTTAAAGGCATGTGCCACCAACGCCTGGCAATTCCCAATATTCTAAGGTAGGAGAAATGGAAAAGTTCAAACCATTCATCCTCCCTTCCTCAACCCAAAATTCT